CTCCGCAGGCCTTCCCAGATCTTCGAAAGCCCTTTCGTGCATTCAGGCCTTTCCTCAGATTATTTCCCACCCCCACGACCGCATACAGCCTCCCTAGACGAACAGCCCCCACCTCAGGGCTCTCTTCACATGGTTGCTCCTGGAACTGCACACAACCCCCTTCAAACTGGGCCCCCCATCCCACGAGAACCCCTCTTCTCAGCCAAGAGCCCTTCTCTCACTCCGGAAACATGCTCTTCACGCGGGAGCCCCCCCAGTCTTTGGAGTACGCACCGTCCCCGTCCCGGGGGGCTCTTACCTGCTCCCGAGGGTCCCGCTTCCATCCCATATACCCGTGCGGAGGTCAGGCGGCCCAGAGACTGTGGAGTCCAGCGTGAGGGGCCTAGGGAGCCCGCACTCTCGCCGCTCGGGCTCCCGGGCCGGGCTCGGCTGCCCCCCCAAGCCCGGCCGCTCGCGCCGACAACCCCGCAACCTCCGTTGCCGTTGCCGCCGCCGCCGCCGCCGCCGCCGCCGCCGCCGCCGCGGAGCCTGCAGCAGCTCCTCCTACGAGCTCCCGGGCAGCTGCCAGTGCGCAGGCGCGACCGCTTGGCCCAGGGGGCGGACGGGAACGAGTCAAGCGGGGCGCTCCGACGGCAACAAAGGCCAATGGAGAGGGGCGGGGGCACGGGGACCGGAGGCAGCGGCCCCTGGCGGTCACCCGTCGTCGTGCAGCCCGGAGGGAGGGCTCAGGTAGCGGCGCCGCGGAAACAGTAGTGTAAGTGGGGCGTGGCGTGGCGACACCCCTGCTGCAGCCTCGGGCCCTGTCTTTTTCCCAAAAGGTCCCTCCGAACCCACACACAGCCCCACCCTTCGCAAGGAGCCACGCGCAAGTCAGGGGAACCCCACCTCATTCCCAGACCCTCTCACGCTCCAGCACGCCATCACCCAAGGGCCCTGCCTCCCACCTGTCCTCCCAATCACCCTCATCCTTCAAGCCTGGGCTGCAGAGACTGGCTCCTCGAAGTCTTTCTCCGTCCCTAGTCACTGAACTCACTGACGCCACCCTCTCTTCCAGGCCGGGTGCTGGGCGCTGAGACAACAGACTTGTGAGAGACCCTGCCTACCCTGGAAGATGTCACAGTCTTAATTTAAGTGCGGTTACAGACCTCTGTCTACAGGACCTGCAAGGCACCTGCTTCCACTTTCTCATCCACTCAGCTCATGATAGCTGCTGTCATGAGCAGGTCAATCTGCTTTTCCCACCAAGTCATTTAAATGACTTTTTGTGTCAAAGTCCAAAAGATAGTATTTAATTATTTCTCTGCAGCATCTGACACTGTATCTCTCCTTTAAAAAAAAAAAATGACTTCTACTTGGCCTGGGCATTTTTGAAGTCTCCTTAGTTAATGCTTCTGACCTTTTCAATTTTCTTCAAGGGCCTCTCTTGCTTTTACCCCAATAAATAAGTGTTCACTGTAGTTTCAAACCCTGTTCTCTTCTTATTCCATTCTCCCCTTAAGGATCTCATCCATTCATATGGCCCAACTATCCTTCCAAATCTGTACTTCCAATCCACATCTCAAACTCCTATTTCCAAATGTCTGCTGGACAGCTCCACCTGGATATTCTCCTAGCACTTCAAATTTAAAGAGTCCACACCAAACAAACCCTTATCTTTCCCTTACAAACATACATATGTACTTGGGTCTTGTGCTTCCTGACTCAGTGAATGGCATTTTCATGACAGAAATGATAGTTCCTCTTTCTCCCTTGCTCCTTTCCCCTATAAAACTGACCTCCATGTCTTGGCATATTTAATTCCTGAACTGCTTTCACAAGATCTCTTCTATTTTGATGGTTCATTGTGCTGGTGCAGACCCTCATCGTATCTTGCCAGAAATATCACCCTTACTTCCTTGTTACTTTCAGTTTCTGAGAACATCCCTCCCATTGGTCTGCTGCAGTGATAGAATAATGACAGTAAGAGACCCATAAGCCAGACATAGTGATGAACACCTATAATCCCAGCACTTAGAAGGCTGAGGCAAAAGGATAGCTGTGATTTCAAGGCCAGCCTGGGCTACATAGTGATTTCAAAGCCAATCTGAACTACATAGTGAGACATTGTCTCAAAAAAAAAGTGCTCAAACTTCACTTTCCCATATAGATATTTATATATATTCATTCATACTTTTTTTAATGTCTGCTTTACACCAGATGCTGAGAAACTTCAGAGACAGACCATACCCATCCTTGTTCATGAGAAGATTGATTTCTGACACTTATCTTTCTGACACTTGTCTAGCTTCAGCTGTTTCTCAAATAGCAACTATCATAATCACCTAGAGTGCTTGATAAAACACTAACTTCTGAGCCCTACCTCCAGTGTTGTTCGTCCAGTAATAGGTCTTACTCAAGAATGTACATTTGCATTTTTTAGTTTGTTTTTTGAGAAAGGGTTCCATTATGTAGCTCAGGCTAGCCTTGAACTCACTATATAGCTTCAAATTTGTAGTGATCTTCCTGTCTCGGCCTCATGAGTGCTGGGATTACAGGCTTGTGCCACCACACCTGGGTAAGAATGTGCATTTCTAACAATGTTTTAGATGAGGCTTGTGCTACTGATCTGAAGAATCACACTTTGAGAACTACTGCTCAAATATATCTTTAAAGTAGTGGTCAAGAACAAAGACTCTAGAGCCAGATTCTCAATCTGGCCTTACCATTTACTAGCTGTGCAACACTGGGAAAATTATTTAATTTCTCTGTGTCTCAGTTTCCACCTCTGTAAAATGGGGATAACAGTATTACCCCACTGTTGCAAAGATGAAATGATTTAATACATAAAAAGACTTTAAAACAGTGTATGAAAGAATGCAAGCAAAGCATTACCTACTAACATAATCATCTCCCTCTCATGCTATATTCTAAGTTCCTTAAAGACAGGGATTATATCAGATGCTTTCTGTCCTCCTTTAGTGACTGGCACAAGCTTTGCTTAGAATGATTTGTTAAATTTGAGTTCACCTGAATCAAATAGAAGGCATCAAAAAAAAAACCCTTATGTTAGGGCCAAGCAATGGCCCGAGGATGGGTCATTGTAAGCCCGGTCAGAGGGAGCCAGCAGAGAGCTTTGAGGGAGCATTGGACCTGGGGGATGGTCAGGCAGGAGAGGAGCTGTGGTGAGTGTGGGGAGGTCACTGGTGACCTTGAGCCAAGCAGTGGTAGAAGGGAGGAAGCAGAAACCAGGTTACCATAGCCAGGTGCGGTGGCGCACACCTGTAATCCCAGCACTCGGGAGGCCGAGGGAGGAGGAGCCTGAGTTCGAGGCCACCCTGGGCAACTTAACAAGACCCTCTCTTAAAATAAAATTTCAAAAACTGAAAAAAAAAACCCTCAGAGATAGAAAGATCTCTACCTTCATGTGAATGAATTGGATGTTTACCATTCCATAAGTGTTCAAAATCCCTGTTCTAAATATTCAGCCTCATACTTAATTTTGAAGCCAGCATGAACTACATAGTGAGTGAGACTCCCTTAAAAAAGATAAATAGGGCCGGGGATTTAGCTCAGTGGTTCCGGTGCCTGCCTCTCGAAAGCGCAAGGTCCCGAGTTCGATCCCCAGTACCAAAAAAAAAAAAAAAGATAAATAAAGGCCCAGGGGCATTGCCAGCTGGCTAAGGGCCCAAAACACAAGCATGAGGACCTGAGTTCAATTCCTGGTACCTATAAAGGTACAATTCCCAATGAGAAATGTAATTGTGTTGTATACCTACAATGTACCAATAAAAGAATTTAATAAAGTGTAAAAAAAAAAAGATAAATAAAGCTGTAGTGATAAAAGCAGCATGGTACTGGTGCAAAACACAGAGATGTTCATCAGTGTAGCAAAAATGAGAATGCAGAAACAATCCTAGCTGCTTTCAGCCATGTGATCTTCAATAAAGGGCCCAAAAACATACACTGAAAGAAAGATAATGTCTTTATCAAATGATGCTGGAAAAATTGGTTATCCACATGTGGAAGAATGAATTTAGACCCATATCTGTCAAATTGTACTAAAATCAAATTAAAATGATCAAATACTTAGATATAAAAATAGAAACACTGAATCTGCTAGAAGATAAAATGGGTAAAACACTTGACATAGGCAAGGACTTCTTAATCAAAACTCCAATTGCATAAGAATAAACACTAAAAATCAACAAATGTATGGTATTATGTTAGATTAAAAGGTGTCTGCACCATGAAGGAGACAACCAATAGAGTGAAAAGACAACCTAAAGAATGGAGGAAGAAATTGTCAGCTACTCTGTGGACAGAAGACTAGTATCTACCATATGTATATAACTCAAAAAAATTGGACCCCTCAATAAAAAATCAGTCAAAAATGGGGAATTAGAATGAATAAACACTTCTCAAAAGAAGAAGTACAAATGACCAATAAATACATGAAAAAATATTCATGTTTGGCCACTAGAGAAATACAAATCAAAACAATAGTAAGACTCCATCTTACTCCAGAAAGAATGGCTCTTTACACAAACTCAACAGAAATTAGTGATGTTGTGAGAGGAAAGGAACATTTCTATATTGTTGATGGAATGTAAACTAGTACAACCACTAAGGAAATCAATATTGAGATTCCTCAAACAGCTAAAGGTAGAAATTCCATTTGATTCAACTGTACTCTTTTGAGTATCTTCCTGAAAGCATTAAATACATCATTTGACAATGATACATACATACTCTTATTTATAGCAGCTCATAATAACTAAATTGGAAGCAACCTATAGACCCATCAAGAGATGAGTAGATAATGAAAATATGGGATATATTCACAATGGAGAACTACTTAGCCATAAAGAATGATAAATTTGAGTCATTTATAGGAAAACGGATGCACCTTGAAACCATAATGTTAAGTGAAATAAATCTGATAGAGATGGTTCAATATTGCAGGGTTTCTTTTGTATGAGAAATTCAAAGCAAAATAATATATAAATGATAGAAAACATGGAGGTAGACCTTGTATAGATGAGAAGGGGTCTGGAGATATGGAGAGGTGGGAAGGAGGTAAGGAGAAGAAAAGTAAAAATGATTAAGATGCAATATGTACATGTACCAATTCAAAAGGTGACATAATTATTATGTATCACAAACATATACTAACGAGAGAGAGAATGTATCATTTTCATTTATGCTTTTGTCCTTTGCACATGTAGTTTCTCTATTACAACTCCCCTCATTTCAACCTATCCAAATTTTTCATTGTTGTTGTTGATGATGATGCTGTTGTTTTGAGGTACAATTTAAAACACCTTCATAACATTTTCTAGATGCTTCCAATCCACGATTTTTGTCTTCATTACTCTGAATCTCCACTGGGACTTCTAGGCTTGAGTTCTTCCTCAGTTGTTTCACACAGTTATTTTTCTTGCCCCCCCAAAATTCTTTATGGACAGTATTAGATGCAATTGACAACAAAATAAATGTTCTTTAGGCTGGGGATTTAGCTCACAATTGCAAGCTCCTGAGTTCAATCCCCAGTAACAAAAATAAATAAATAAGTAGAATAAAAATAAATCTTATTTGAAAACAACAATAGATTATATATATCTACTTACCAAGAACAATTACCAAGACCCACACATGGGTAGGTTGGGAGATCTGGTTGGGATGACTTGCTGATTTCTGCACATCTTATGGCAGAATAGGTGTTGACTGGATGGACAGAGCCCAGTGATTTTGAGAAACCCTGCCTCCTTCTAGCATCAGTTGCCCTTAAAACCAAAATTTTCAGCAACTGTGAATTCTAATTAATCTTTGCTCCCAACTTAGTGTTTAACTACTGCTTTCATGTAGTGGCTACTAATCACTATGTGTCAAATGAATGAATAAATTAATCAATACATAAGTGACTACACGCTGAAACCTTCAATTGACCAAGTATTAAGGACCAGGCCACAGCAATCTCAGAAGATTTAGAGTCAAGAGGTTGGTGTTAGCTTCACTTGGGAATTTCATTTTGGATATAAAGCCAAGGAAAGGTCCATACTTACAGCACATCAACTTGTCACAGATACACTTGAGTCACTTACAGGAAAATGAATGTACCTCGAGACCAAAATGTTAAGTGAAATAAATAAGACATACAAGCTTAAATATCAGATGGTTTCTCTTATATGAGAAACCAAAAATATATATAAAGTGCAAAAGACAGTTTCTATAATTAGATAATAATGTCGATACACATATCAGAACTGATGGGACTCAACGAAAGCAGTCATATCAGGAAAATTTATAAAAGTGAATTCCCACATCAGAAAAACAGATCAAACTCAAACAAATAACCTAGTGTTGAACCTCAGGGTTTGAGAAAAAGAAAGGCAAGTTAAACCCAAAGCTTGTAGAAGGAAGGACATTATAAAGATCAGAGCAGAAATAAATTCCAACTGAGACAAAAAAAGAACACAAA